TGGGTGTGTTGTCTGTGCGGTGGTGTGTGTGTGTGTAATAGTATGTAGGTGGGTGTGTTCTGTGCGCGGTGGTGTGTGTGTGTGTGTAATAGTATGTAGGTGGGTGTGTTCTGTGTGCGGTGGTGTGTGTGTGTGCAATAGTGTGTGGATGGGTGTGTTCTGTGTGCGGTGGTGGGTGGGTGTGCAATGGTGTGTGGGTGGGTGTGTCGTCTGTGCGGTGGTGGCTGAGTGTGTAATGTTGTGCGGCCGTGTTGTCTGTACGCTGGTGTGTGTGTGTGTGCGATGGTGTGTGGGTGTGTATTGTGTATTATCTGATGACCTACCCAGACTCTCAACGTCTCGCGCACAACCTCAAATCTCGCAATCTGCCACGGGCTTTGTGAGCTCCGACAGAGCGACGGGAAGTGGCGGCCCTCCGGTGGTAGAAGGCGGTGCGAGGCAGCAGTGGTCGCGGGATCTGGTAACCAGAAATAACATAATTGCCCAATCTCAAAGGAGCTGTCCAATTAAATCAAGATTCGTCGACTGTATTATCCAGGCTGGGACAATGGATCATTGCGGGTTAAAAAGGGGGGCGCGTGCGTTGAGAGACCGCGCGCGTGTGCGCACACGAGTAGCGGTGGCAACGACGATTTGGGGGGACCCGATTAAAAAGGTGGCCAATTACCTTGACGAGGAAATAAAATAATAAAAAAGAGGGAAACAAAGACACACAGAGACACGCGCGCACACGCAAAAAGAAGCCGGGATAAGACAGATCACGTGTACCCCCCCCCCCGAACCCCGGTCTCAAGATCGGTGGCGACGGTTGTCACGAAAAGTTGTGCAGCCCCAATGATGACGACGCCTAGTTTGAATTCGCGAGATGGGATTTGTCAAACGGCTGCCGTGCGTTTGCAATGCATTAGCAGGGCCAGGACCGTCGGTGTATTTTCTTAAAACATTCCTTGAAAACAAAAACCTCCGCCGATTAGCACGGTTGGCTATGCACGGTACGAAAGAAGTTCAACATATACACGCACTGTACTTGAATTTAATGTAATCACGGCAACTTGAAGCGCGCCACCGCACAATATTCACTCGCTATCGAAGAGAAAGGACGACTCGGAGGCGCGGGGAAGAGCCGCAGCCACGCGGTGAACCGGCGCCAACAATTGCCCAAGCTCTGCAATCCTCTGTGTATGCAGGTATGTTGAACTTCTTTCGCACCATACGTGCCAATCGGAGGTGTTGCTATCGACCAATTAATGCGTTTTTTTACGTGGGATGAAACCAGAGCACCCAGGAAAAAAAACCCACGTGTGCGATGGAGAAACACTGTATCCCACACGGGTACAATAGAGTCCACATTTGTTTTGCTGTGCTGTACCGCATTCTCCTGGCGAGCCAGAGTATGGCACCGCCTCGATACCCACGGGAAGGGAGTTTCACAGGTGACGTGCGTTGCCACCACCGTCCGATGGGGCATCCATCCCAAAATCAAGGACCTTCTGGTCAGACTTGGGACTCAGACTCTCCTGGGTAAATGTATTGGCACGAGTGCACCTGGTTAACTTCACTATCGGTTGCGATGTGATGCCATTTTGTACTGGTGAATGTTTGTATGTCAATGTGCGGACCTTTTGCCAACCCACCACTCGAGCTTGATGATGGGTCATTTGACCATACTTGACCATGCTGGTCGATGAAAGAGAGGAGCATAGAAATTGGAAGTATGGTACAACACAATGGATTTTGCTGTACTGCGCTGTGGTGACAGCATAGTCCCGCAGCAGCCTATAACACCTGTTTTTTTGCATGGTGGTCGTCCATCCATAGAAGTGCTATCTCGGCTCGAGACTGCTTAACCTCCCATATTTGACGAGTTCAGGCTGAGTTTGGATGATTTGGTCATAAGCATTGCTGGATACTGTAATCTGAAGTTAAATACTTAGTTTTTAATTCGCTAACTGACACAGTTGATGCGTGATATTGGCGTAATTGCTGATGCTTGTCAATATCATCTTCACGTATTGATACAACACAATGAACACTCGATTAGCGTTGTAAATCCATAACCACTTCATATTTTTCTACATGACCTTAACACGTGCCCTACATTTATATATATAATCTATGATTTATTTACATTGAAATGAATGGGGTTTGTGTTGACTAAATTTGCACTGTTCACTAAAGTAGAGTTAATCTAATCTTCTTCAGAAATGTGTAATTTCGTCAAATTGTATTTCGGGAAATCGTGATGGGAGTGCCAGCCGAGAAGAATCAGGACTCATCTGAGAGTACGTCCACCGATGAGATGGAGCCATGGAATCAGCTCGTGTGCATGCAGGTGTAGTTGGGTGGATTGTGAGAGATATGGCGATGGCTGGCGGAGAGATTTCATCCAGCAGTGGATTGACCATGGCTGACGATAACCAAGACTAAGAACCCCCGTGTAGCCTTTAACAACAGATTGTTGGGGCAAACGCTGTGAGCAAACAGCTACGAAGGCCGGTACGGCACACGAGGGGGTGGGTGACCAGCACCACGCCCGACCGCCTTTGTCTCCCTCGCGGTGATTTTTACACGCCGCACCAAATACTCATTTGAGGCTGAGTCTACCTAGGACAGGAGGCCCAGGAACGGTTCAGAAAATTGTCACCGGTGTTGGCCATGAGCGGGATTCGAACTCGGGTCAATAACGATGCACAGACACGCGCGCGCGTGTTGTGCTCAATGTTTCTTCACAATTCTGGCTAATCACCTGATTAAGCTGCTTGTAATCACCAGCGAAACGCCGTACTCTAATTGTGCATGTTGTCGGTTTACTCTCCAACTCACCGGCGTGTTGAAGTAGTAACTAATTGACACGTTTTGTTTTACGTGATAAACCTCACCAATTGGCGGTTTCGGGTGGTGGCGGTTTTAACGACACATTTATATGTATGCTATCTAACCCAAAAAACACCTTATTATGGATGCTATTGGTCGCGAAAGCCTCTTACTACGTGTTAAACTGTCCGCAAAGTTGTTTAGGAAAGCATGGATGTGTGCGCCACCTAATGGACAATGTATAGCTTAGCTGGGTTGACTGAATGAAGACTGCAGAGTAAGGGGCCATCCATTTAGTAGGTACGCAAAAATCTGTCAAAACTTGACCCCTCCACCCTCTCCCTGTACGCACGCGGACTTTCTACACACCCCCCCCCCCCCCCCACCTGCGTACGTTCGCTTGACCCCGTACGCTTGAATCCTATAGAACGGCCGATATTTAATCCACGCAGAAACGATCAAGGATTCATAATATTAACGTGTTTAAGCAAACAGATAGTCCACCGCCGGCTGCATTAAAGAATTAAGTCGCGTACCTTGGCCACTTATTTTGCTGAGCTGCGTGATAGCTGCAGTCAGGGTTACGGTGACATGCAAGTGACACCTCTCCCACAGTGCCACTTCTCCCGGTCGTAATTGTCTGACAGCTGAAGAAACTGAACTGTGGCTCATTTGAAGGCTAATGTAGACAAATAATTATCGACGCTGCACCCCCCCCCCCCCCCCCCGTTTCCTATGCGTACGCACATTGTCAGTAGACCCCCCATACGCAAGCGTACACATTTGGGTTAACCCCCCCTCCATGCGTACGTACTCAATGGATGGCCCCTAATCAACAGCCCTTTGGGAATAAAGCGGCCAATGGGCAAATAATTTACCATTATAATGATTTACATTTGTCAAGGGTATTTCATTCCAATATCCCCAAATGCGCCGCCGTGTATGGGAAGCAGGAAACAAACAGAACCTGCAGGTAAAGAAGGCCTATTGCAAGAGGTGAGTTTTCAAGACAGACTTAAACATAGCTAACGACTCTCATTGTCTATGACCCAAACACCCGGAAATACGCTGCATCTCACGAGCTCTCAGAAGCTCGGCAATGGGTCGAGTCATAGATCGTGGCTTGCATGTGCGACCACCGCACATGCCACGTTGGCACAGGTGGTTGCGGGTCAGTGTACTACGTGGTGGGCAGTCCAGCAACATAGCCCACGTTGTACTGTGATTCTATGCTTCCACGACTATGGCCTGGCGTCTTGTCAAATCAACAGTGGGGGCCGTCCATAAATGACGTCACGCACCTGGGGGGGGGGGGGGTCAGAGATTTGTGACGATGTGTAACGATGGGGGAGGGTTGAGAAATGTGACGTCACATCAAAATGCGCAACTTTAAATAAATATAGACAACACGTTCTACTTAATTAAATCGACTTTTTAATAAATGTTTCTCCTACAACATCAGAGTGCAGCGCCACATTTAATACGCACTACAATGACAATAGTTTAAAGCGATTTGAAGCATGTTTAATTTTTTTTGGGAGGGTGGGGGGCAGAGTTTTGTGACGTCATATTTGAGGGGGGGGGTCTGACTTTTTGTGACGCCGTGTGACGAGAGGGGGGGTCAAAAATCGTCCAAAATCGCGTGACGTCATTTATAGACGGCCCCATAGCTGTCAACCCCTGATCAGTGCCCTACCTTAATACAGACCAACTCAGACCGTATCTGTCACCTCGTGCCCTTATCAATCTCAACGTTCATCCAAACAAAGTCCCATCACGAGGGTGAAACACAAACAGACAAAACACATTTTGCCCCTATTGAAACAGCTGTACACTATATGGACGTGAAAACTCAATTTCCCTGTACAGGAATACGGCTAAGCCGCATGGGTTGACAGCTATGGTGAACCCACTTGACAGCTGTGAAAAAGAGCTTTACGGCTCATCGGATTCCTCCAATGTAAATAAAATATTCAAATTCAGTTCTCAGTTAAAGCATGACGTCACAACTAATAAAAGTGTGGGGGGGTGGTGGGTGACGTCACATCAAACGCCGCAAATTTCCCAACACGCTTAAGCGACGCTCGCCGCCGATTGGCTACGAGCGAGCCCCGGTCGATCTCAACCGACCAATCGCGTGCGTCTTCTCCGAGCCCCGCCTCCCCCCCGCTTGCTTGTGCGCTCTACGATTTTCCACGCCAGTCTCAGAATTGGCGCCGCGTCCCTCCGTGTTGGACACGCGCGAATTTTCCTCGAAGTTAGGGGGCCACCCCCCCCCCCCCCCACAAAGTCTCCGTGTCCCGACAGGTTCCTTCCTCAGGTATCTTTGTCCACCCCCAACACACCCCGAGGCGCCACGCACCCACTGCCGGGCGCTGTACCGAGCGGAGTTGCCGTCTCCCCTCCGCCGTCGACGTGCGGACGTGAGGCCTACGCTATTAGGCTTGTAATCCAAAGAGCCTCTTGCTGTGGGTGATGTTGGTCGCGAAAGCCTCCGTGTTGAATTGTAATTCAAGAGTTGTGTTGATTTACGGCCACCCACCCACCCACCTACCCGCCACTGTGAATGCGCTGCTCGATGAAGGTTTAACGAGACTAAGTCGGTCGTGGGTTGGTGGTTTGACCATACTTCGCCACATTGTGGGGTTGAGAGGCCACGATTTGGATATCGTCACTGACGTGGGAGCTGTGCAGTGTGTGCGTGCTTAAACCATTGGTCTTGTCGCTAAGAACTTCGCCCCGTTTATGATGCGGGTTTTGAAAATTGTCTTGGCGAATGTTCGTGTGTTCGGGAGCTAAACTACCGATGGCCAAGTCTGCTGCTGGCCACGACGACGACGATGAGAGAGGGCTTTCAGGAGGGAGAGAATTCGCGTCGTGTTGCTGTTCCTCTGTTGAAAGAGCGCAGGCGACAGTGGGTTTACTCCGTAGTCCGTAGCTTTAGTTGCATGGCTACAATCGCACTACTGCGGCTTGTCTTGAATGGGTCTCTGTGTATCTTTATGGGTCTACGTATGTCTGTTTAATAGTATTTGGCTGCTATAAATTACCACACGATAAGACACTTGGTTGAGCCATCATTTGTGGCCAAGTCGCTTCTGAAAAATCTATTTTCAGTCGCTCAGTGGGGCCTTACCTGGTAAAATAAAATGTAAAACAATAGTTAATTTGAGCTCGATGTGCCCCAGAGTATACGGTATGTTAAACAGTTCGCGTTGCGTGGCCAGTAAAGTTATCAGGATGACGGACGCTTGTGTTGTGACCGAAACGCCGTGTTTCTTTTATTATTTTTTCTATTTACGTGACTTTACCGAAAGAACCAGAAAGTATGGATTCCTGCAGTCACGAAAGCTTCAAATCAAGACTGTGGTTTTCTTTTAATTTCCCATGTAAATGGTCTTTACAAATTAAAGGCTCAGTTACAATTAAAGTCACTTATTCCACTTGTACAAATATAATAGAGACGCATTCCATCGCTTGTGTTAGTAGTCGGGTTACCCGCCCTGTCCGACACGAATTGGAGCCCTCGTTCATCTGAAAAAGGATTTTAAAATCTCTTGACTCAAGCGAGATGTCACAGCGTGCTAAGTCGTGACCGGAAAATGCTCGGTGATCGCATTAAATCTAGGTAAAAAAAGTTAATCTCGGTTAAAAAGTTAAATCGGATGCGCTTCTGTGGCCGTCTGGAACGCTCGTCCGATATTAGGAAGCCACTGGAGCTACCCACTTCTGACTCTTTGTATATTTTGTTGTCCTTCCCCCAGCACCTCCGATTAGCACGGTTGGATACGAAAGAAGTTTAACATATGCACATGTACAAACTAGGAAAATGTTGGTCATAGCTCTGGTGGATTACGAGCCCGTTGATTTCCACCGAAGTGGATCACAACGCTTGGCCTATTGGTCACCACTGCTCTAGGTAAAACACATGGGGGTTTAGGTTAGGCCCTCATCCAGCAGTGGTTTGACAAAAGTGTTGCACATGTACAAAATATGTTTTTGTACTTGGAAGATTAACATTTGCCACTCGTTGCACTTTACAACAATCGTATGCTCAGGTTGTCCTGGTGTTTAACCCCTGCAGTGACAACAGGTACCGGAAGACTGAGAAAGGGACGAAGCAGCCATGACCTCCATCATCAAGCTCACGGCCCTGTCCGGAGTGCAGGATGAGGGCGCCCTCTGCTACCTCCTGCAGGTCGACGAGTTCAGGTTCCTTCTCGACTGCGGCTGGGATGAGAACTTCAAGGCGGACTTTGTGGAAATTCTCAAACGGTAGCAAAGCACCTCTTCAAACGATTCATCACCCCTACCACGGCGATTGTAGATTGTCTCGATACAGACCGAGATTCTATTCATTAACCTTTTTTTTCAGTCGGTCACCACTGGTGTGAGCTGTGGCCAGGAATCTAACTCAAAGTCACCAGGTTCATAGAACTGTACACTAACCACTCCATCGTTCCACCTAAATGATGTACACTTATTCCATGTAAATACCATAATGTATCCTGCAATATGTATGTATGGTTATGTGCATATATCGTTCACACGATAATGTTTATTAATAAATTCACCGTTATATTCATTAATGTGCAGTGCAGTCAAGAGTGTGACAATGTTAAAGTCGGTGATATCTGCTCAAATTAGCATTTGGGTGGTGCTCATCTCCTATTAACAGCTCTGAGCCAGTGGTGTACAGTCCTCATTCTTATGGCGGTAGCACGTCTATCCATAGGACAACCACTGTTGACCTCCCCACAAATTAGTACCTTTTTATCAACCCAGAGGGATGATGGGCCGAGTCACACCCCAATCAGGAATTTAACTCCCAACCCTTCCGATTACGAGCCGCTCAATCTGCCGTTGATTCACCTAGCCGGATATGAACGATATTTTGTGATCATGGCTCAGCGGAAGTGTGTGTCTACAGGATTTGTTCGTGCGTATATGTATGTTGAACATCCTTTGCACCGTACGTAGCCAACCGTGCTAAACAAAATATCACCGTAGCACGTTCTTTCATCGTTGTGTTTTTCTCGCTTGCAGGCACATCCATCAGATAGATGCAGTTCTTCTCTCGCACCCTGACACTCCACATCTGGGCGCCCTGCCGTTTGCCGTGGGAAAGCTCGGGCTGAACTGTGCCATTTATGCCACCATTCCTGTGTACAAGATGGGCCAGATGTTCATGTATGACCTCTATCAGGTGAAAGCCTTGCATTATAGGCGTCATTGTGCAACACATGCTGGTACATGTCCGTGGATGATAATCACTACATCTGTTCGTTGTGTCTGTAACTTAATTGTACTGTGAACTCTTTAACAGTAATTTCCGAGACAACTTACGTTTCAGGACGTTTATTCTCTTTAATGTTGAATTACATTTGTGCTGTCTATTCTATTTTTGTAAATCGGTTGTTATTTATTCTCTAATTTTTATTTGCTTCATTGGTCTATTTTATTACTTTTGTCGTTTTGATGACTTGGGTCACTTTTGTAAATGAGGCCATCCCGAGTTCCCACTTTTTAAAACAAATGTCGACTTAAATACTCTTCAACTTCGGTTGCGGATGTTGATAAACGTCAGATAATTGTTTCACTAAAAGATCTTTCCGCAATTGTTTCCACAGTCAAGGCACAACTCGGAAGATTTCAATTTGTTTACGCTGGATGATGTCGACGCTGCTTTTGACAAAATCCAGCAACTGAAGTACAACCAGATTGTTTACCTTAAAGGTTTGTTATCGTTAATTATATCCTACAATGCTTCATTGATAGGTTATGTAATGTTTCCCTTGTAGAGAATTTTTAAAAACTCACGAATAGTACGTTTTGACTCGATGGACAAATATGCATCATCATCATCAGCCATGTTTTATTCGCTATGGTGGCGAGATGTTAACTCCCTCGCCTTGTGTGCAGGAGGTCGTGGGTTCTATCCCCAGCTTGACGCATGTATATTTGGAGTTTGCGTGTCTCTCTCCCTGTGGTCGCGTGGATTTTTCTCCGGGTCCTCCGGTTTTTCCCTCCATATTTAGAAACACGCGTTTGGAGTGTTCGGCTGCTCTAAATTCCCACATGATAAGCCACTTCCTTGATCTATCATTCGTGACCAGGTGCTTCTGATAAAGAGCTGTATATGGCTCAGTGGGCCTTAGTTGGTAAAATAGAATAAAAATATTCACTGCTTAATGAAGGATTCCCCAAGTGTTCACCATCTCTTAGTCTCATGGTGCACCAATCCACCAGGCTTCTGTCCACGAGATTGAATTGACCCACCACGTAGTCTTCCCCTTTAACGTGTTCCCTCCTTTGCCTACCACTCCGTACGTAGTCTCGACCACCAGCCATCATGTTAATCCTGACTGACCCCAACTATGCAGTAATTTCCTGCGCTTCAACCCTGATAGTAGTTCTACAGACTTGCCGTCGGCGAAATTGGAGATGTTTAAAGCTATTTCGGCTTATGTTTGGTGTCGTGTTTATCGCGTTCAATATAACGTTGTATTCCTTCTTCATTCAGGCAAGGGACATGGCTTGTCTATAACCCCGCTGCCTGCTGGCCACATGATTGGGGGCACAGTGTGGAAGATTGTAAAAGATGGAGAGGAGGAGATCATCTATGCGGTGGATTACAACCACAAAAGAGAGATGTAAGCTACAGGACATGAACGTACATCTCTAGCAGCTAATATGAAAGTACACTGTTTACTTGTATTCCATTTTAATGTCAGATTCCGTTATAACTGCTTGTGAATGATTGTAAACTCATCATTTATTAACTGTTCACCTGTTTTTTTGTTTTGTTTTATGTAGACACTTAAACGGTTGCGCTTTAGAGACTGTCACAAGACCATCACTGCTCATCACTGACTCACTAAATGCCACATACGTTCAAGCCAGGAGGAAACAACGAGATGAACAGCTGCTAAGTATGTTTCCTTACCGAAGGAACACTTTATATTTTCATCCCATTTAACATGTTCCATTACACAAGAGTTTGGTGTTCGTCTTTGCATGCGTCACTTACAAGTTTGTATACTGGTGTTGTCTATTGGAAAGTTATACATTTTTTTTAAAGCATGCCACTCGCAATTGGAACTTTGCCAGATTAATTCGTGCCCGGTGGTCGACTCAAACTTAAATTTTTTCAGGGATGATAAATTGACTTTCCATTCTGCTTGGAAGTCAACAGTGATTGTCCTGTGGTTGTATTCATTGTTGCCACAGCAATTTGGAATTTCCACCACTGGCTCAGAGCTGTAAACCGAGGATGAGCACTGTCCCAAATTTCTTTGGGCAAGAAACGTCTATACTTTAAAGCATAACAGCCATGCTGCCTCACTGTAATAGTACAAGAGCTACAGATCGGTGGAATGAAAGAGAGCCTAACAGGAGATATGGATGAGAAAGAGCTGTGGATAAGAGATGCAGATTTACACTTTTGTGTCAGGGCCCCTCCGTTCTCATTGAGGGCTCTTGTCTGTCATGTCATGCAACTCGGCAGCAGTTGTTTTAGCCGGCCTCACTGCTCATGAGACTAAAAGTGGAAGCTGGTCTAGAGAAGTTAAATTTGTTGCTAAAAAACAGAAATGGGATTCTGAAAACGCGTAGGCTGATTGATGAAAATTTTATTTTTACGTGGTTAAAAACTGTCCACTAGTTTTAATGTATTACTCAGTAGAGTAGAAATTACTTTGTTATTAATGCAATCATAAAGTGATTGTTACTTGTCATCGTTAGTTGTTGAATGTATGAGCGACAATCATTATAAACCCAGACCTTCCTTGAAGACAGACTGCTTGAATTGGCTGTCGTCTGATTTAAACAAAATAACCTATTAAAATCTTTCCGAATTATATTCTGCTTTTTGCATTCAGCCTCATGTCATGATACGAAGTATCTTTTCAGATAATTCCGATTATCCCACACCTCCAATTAGCCCACACATCCAATTAGCACGTTTGGCTACGTACGGTGCGATAGAAGTTCAACATACATACGTACAGATTTCGCGTAATTGCCCACACGGAAGCAGATATCACAAAACTATCTCTTGAGATCCCTTCTCAGTGACCTGCGGACTCTCACCTGCCTTTAAATGCCGATGTGAAACACGGGCAACGTTTTGTAATGCCCTGTGTTCATATATCCGCGTCCCCGCAGCGAACATCCTTGAGACGCTGCGTGGGGACGGCAATGTGCTGCTTGCCGTGGACACGGCGGGTCGCGTGCTGGAGCTGGCCCAGCTGCTCGACCAGATCTGGAGGACCAAGGACGCGGGGCTGGGAGCGTACTCCCTCGCGCTTCTCAACAACGTCAGCTACAACGTCGTCGAGTTCTCAAAGTCTCAGGTTCGTACCGTTTGTTTGGACGACCCCGCATCCTCTTTGTGCTTCGGATTCGATCGCCTGCGTTATTTGTTTTTTTCTTCCTTCCCCTATACTCGATCGTTCTCTTCTGCGCGGGTGTGACAAACGCGCTCCCGTGTTTTCACAGTCGCGTAAATATCGATGGCTCTATTCTCATGGTGAATGTCTCTTTTAAGTACAATTTGTGTGCGAAAACACGCATATGTCTTCAAGAGCAAGAGTAGATCAAATCGCCGAGTTTCAGGGCTCTTTCAACTGGTGGCCCGCAGATCTATAGCCCACCGAAATGTATATGGCTTGGAGAGACATTGAGAGATAGACATTAGTGAGACGAAAGAGAGCTCAACAAGATAGAGGGATCCGAACACACGAGCTACAGATGTGTGATCGCATGTACAGATGTTATGATGTCAGAGGCATCATGTGATGTCAACATCTGTACACAAGACATTTAGACATCGCATGACACTATGACGCCGTGTGGCCTCTCATCGCACACACACACACACACTAGTTGCATTGTTACCCACGAGAAAATACAGTGGCAGAATTCTGACCTCGTGTCTCAGCGGTTTTAACGTCCGTACACGCGACACATACAACGTTCAGACGTCGCGTGACGCTTTGACAGCGTGCACATTTAGTATTATTACGTGGTCCATCGAAAGATACATCATTAAAAGAACCCTGACGCCGAGTGTCTCTTCTGTCTCGAGCGGCCACGTATGTGAACCTGTGTTCCCACCCACCTACGCATCGTCGACCGCAGGTGGAGTGGATGAGCGACAAACTGATGCGGTGCTTCGAGGACAAGCGCAACAACCCGTTCCAGTTCAGGCACCTGTCCCTGTGCCACAGCCTGGCCGACCTGGCCAAGGTGCCGAGCCCCAAGGTGGTGCTGTGCAGTCAGCCCGACCTGGAGTGCGGCTTCTCGCGCGAGCTCTTCATCCAGTGGTGCGGCGACCCAAGGCACTGCGTCATCTTCACGGCCCGCACCATGCCAGGCACGCTGGCACGCACGCTCATCGAGAAGCCGGGACTGCGCCGGGCAGAACTGGAGGTGAGGTTCGCGTTTGGGGCGGGGGGTGGGGAGGGTGGATTTTAGCCGTGAACTTGCGTCGCTGCCATCGCACGCTCTGTGTGTGTGTACGCGTGTTGAACTTTTTTCGCGCCGTACGTAGCCAAGCACGCTCCTTGGTGGTTGCCAATTTACAAAAAGAAAGTCGGCGTATGTCCACATCAGGAGGGTCGGCTCTTTCGGAGCAGACGTGAAGTAACATTTAACCAAATAAACTTTGGGTTAGCGTATGTAGCGTGGTTTAATGGCTAGCACATTGGACCTGCAATCCAGAGGTCGCCGATACCTTCTTCCGGCATGACAGTTGAAACACTGTTGCCTAAATCGACCTGCCTTTGTCTGTCCGCCCAGTAAATTGGAACAACACAGTCGATCGGCTGGTTTCTGTGTGTGCGGTGGGGTAAAGTGTGGGTTCTCACAAGATGCCTGGCCAAGTGTTAATGATAAGACAAATAATCACCGTGATGATATCCGCATTTTTTCTTATTCAGATACGCAAACGTGTCAAGCTTGAAGGTAAAGAGCTTGAAGAATATATGGAAAAAGACAAAATAAAGAAAGAAGAAGCGAAAAAGCAAGAGCAAGCCAAAGAGTGAGCAATTAAAAAAATATATATATATTTTCCCCAGGGTTTATGCCTATTGTGCCATACTTAGCCACCGGTGCTAATTGGCGGCATGTCGTGAGACAAATTATACTTTCGCACAACAGCCGGGGGACTCCTGGTTGTTAGAGAACTGCCCCACAGCGGCAGAGAGCACAGCGAGCTACATCTGACATCTCTTGAAGTGACCACAGATCCACACGGTAGGGGGCAGCACTTTCCCGTTCGCTTGGCCAAGGACGGACGTTTGGCACGTGACAGCGACGGGGATTTATTTTATTCTCAGAGCATCAATTTGGACAAATTAAGGGCAGAACCACATTTTGTGCGATGTGGGGTGTTCATTGTACAGGCAGCCCCCGGGTTACGAAAGGGTTATGTTCTCGAGATTGATCCGTAGCCCAAATTTTCCATAGGAAACTGAACGGAAACTGAAGAATTTTCCCCCAAACATCAACGATAAACTCCCAAAGCCGGAAATAGTTGTACCTCTCCTTCCCAATTACTATGTTCGTTTTATCTCGATACCGTATCGTGCTGTCCTCCGTTTTATATCGTTACCTGTATCGTATCGCTGTAATACGCTCTGCACTTCCTACGATTCATTCATTTAATCGAATATCTACCCTAACACTACCCATAATTAAACGAATGGAACATATACTGTATCCAACTGTTTATGAATACCACGAAACATTTTAATATTAATTGTTAACAGAAAGCGCTCCGTTCCGAATGTTCGTTTACCGTGCATTAGGTTAGGCCTAGACTTCTCCGATCGCTGTTGGCCGAGACCATAAGCAATCTAAGCGTAATTGTGTTAAATAAAGTACATCCAGTAAATAACTCATGAAATAAACTTAAAATAAAGAAAACTAGCAATGGAAAAATAGCCAGTTCTAAGCATATAAAACAAACAATTATTTAATGCTACAAAAGAAATGGATTACATAACACTGCAAAAAAATCCATTTTACCTTAATCCTCGGTGAAGCTCGGTGAAGGTGGAGTTTTATTTACGCTCCGCGGTATTCATCCGCAGCCTCACTGCGCTGCATTATTTGCGCTTACGTAACTAATGCAAACATTTATTCAAATTGAAACCTAAATTTTACGTGATTTTTTGGAGCATTTCCATAAAGTCGGATTTCCTTGTGTCGGGTCTTCCGCAACCCGGGAACTTGCTGTACAGTCGAATAATCAGGCTGAGAACTCATCAACTCGCTCTTTGTACGAGTGAGAAATATTAACGTTGCCTTCGAAGGTCACACATTTTGCACCAAATAATTGAAATGGATGGCGGGGATGGTGGCGAGTGGTCTCGCAATTATATTGCAAACTTATCAGTAATGTGCGGGCGACACATCGACCGTATTTCTGCCGATATCTGTGAGTCGCTCGTCGCAGACAGCCGCTTGGGCATGCCCACCCCCACCACCCCCCACTCCCACCAGCCACCCCCCAAGAAGCATCGCCCAGTCGGCCTGGTTTTGATCGAATGTGTCCGAACGCGTCGGTGCAGCGATGATGAATTTTCGAGCGACGACAGCGACCTGGAGGGTGACATGGAGTACCAGCCGGCGGGCAAGGCCAAGCACGACTTGATGATGAAGAGCGAGAACAGTCGCAAGGGCAGCTTCTTCAAGCATGCCAAGAAGTCCTACCCCATGTACCCATCGACGGAGGAGAAAATCAAGTGGGACGACTACGGAGAGATCATAAAGTAAGGGCGCGTCGCCGAGATTCGATACCTTGCCTGGAAAGCAGAAGGTCGTGCGTATGATCCCGACCTTGACGCCTGTATATTTGGCGTTGGCATGTTCTCTCTCCCCGTGTTCACATGGATTTTTCTCCAGGTCCTCCAATTTTTCTCTCCACATTCAGAATCGGCGTGCTTTTAGAGGATTTAGCTGCTCTACATTTCCATGTAATAAGCCACTTTGTTGAGCTATCATTTGTGGCCAGGTCGCTTTTGAAAAAGAGCTGCATAGCTCAGCGGGCCTTACCTCTGTAAAATAAAAATAAATTAGCTTAGATTCACTCGCTCCTTCATGGATTTATTGAGAAACATTCGCACGTCCATGTCGGTAAATAACGAATACGAGATGGCCGTATTTTAGCAAATGCAGTTGGTGTACGGATGACGCAGTGGTGTCGTGGTCAGCACACTGGACTTGCAGTCCAGAGGTCACCGGTTCGGTTTGAACTCCCGGCGCGGCAGTTGAAACAACGGTGCAAGTTTTTTCCGAATCTCCCCCGCACCCCCCCCCCACCCGTCTTTGTCCACCCAGCGGTGTAAATGGGTATACGGCAGGTTGTTGATTGGCAGGCCGCGTGTGATGGGGTAAAGTGTGGGAACTCCCACCTCTTCCAAGATATCTGGCCAGCATGGAATACCCTCTAGAGGGACTCTACAACTGCCTCGAGTGGAGCTCCTTTGACCAGCAGTGGCACGAGAAAGCATTTGCAGGGCTGCACTTTTACATTTTACTCTAGGTTCATATTCGTCAAATATATAAGAACAATTTGCGCTGCCAGATGTAGCATATGCATTAGAAACTGCATGCATTAACATAGTTTCCATGAATACATTTGGGCTGTTAAAGTGGAAAAATATATATGTGCTATGACCATATATGGCCAAATCACCCGTGATGCTCCCGATGTTGTCAAATCTTAGAACCCAAGCAGGTTTTGAGCCTAGATAGTGTGTGCGTATGGGTGACCACCATGCATAATAGCTGTTATCGGAGCTCATGGGGTTTCCGTGGCTGGTAGCAGAGGGACCGTGCAGTACAAACTCCGTTGTGTCTTCGTGTGTGCACAGGCCCGAAGATTTTTTCATGCCCGAGTTGCCAAGCGTGGATGAGGACAAGGGTGTCGAAGCTCATCACCAGGCGGAGGAGGCCATGGAGCAGGACCTGACCGATGTGCCCACCAAGTGCATCTCCAGCAGCCACACGGTCGAAATTCGGTACGCGGCGCTGCGCCCTCAACACTGCATCGCGAGCATTCAGATGCGCTCCTGAGGCCGTCTGGAACGGTCTTCCGATAATAGGAAGCCACTAGAGCGATTCATTTGTAAACCTAGATTAAAAACTCATTTTTTTAGAACTGTTTTTCGTGTTTAATTTGTTGTCCTTCCCCCACAACTCCAGTTAGCACGGTTGGCTACATACAGTGCGAAAGTTCGGCATACATACATACTCACAAAGACTTATTCCCTCCCGATCCTCATTGAAAATGTCCCCCTCGCTTTCTGTGCTGCCACTTTTCTTCGTACGGCATTTGAAAAGCTGCTGATGTGAAACGTTATCATTTGTACGTCGAGCGCGGTAATCCATTTGACGGCATCGCTAGTTGCTTGATGTACGTATGGCGTCCGTACCTCCTGTGTAAGCGAAAAATATGGCAGTGGTCGGGTAGGCCTTGTCACGCTGATGACACGGTTGGAATGCGTTTCATGAAGGCTGTGGCCAACAGCTCAGGGGGGTTCATTGCACTGAGTTGGTACCGATAGGCTCGTGAATCCGAAGCGACGTTTCAGTCAGCCGCGATATAATTGGCCCATCAATCGTGAGAGGTTGATCGTCTCCGCCACAGGTCATCCATGAGTGCACACAAAAAAACGAAGACGTTCTGTATCGGATCGTTGCGGCAATTGCTGTTGACAAGCACCTGTTAAGGCCAGCACGGCTCACGCGGGCGTAGTGTAGCCAGGATGACGCTCATATACGATGTCTCTTTAAGCTACTATGTTTTATAATCTACGCGTTCCTCTTCACATATCTCAGTGTAAGTTAACGCATGCACATTTCTGCGTGCTTCTCTGTGTACTTGCCAGCTATTGTGCCAATGTTTTTGTCCATGTTTCTGTACCAACTAGTGATGAAAGGCAGACAACACACTGATTAAAAATATTGTTCTACAGACACATTGTCATATCACTCCTTGGTGTACACCACCAGCAGTCCACCCGTAGGGAAATCGTCAACCAACCTCAGCCATCCCAACTTTAACCACAGCTCCCGCCACTCCCTTCGGAATACCCTTTGAATCTCTTAGCCAATCCAACACTCGCTGGTCAAGCAGACCATCCATCATTGGTGGCTGTTCTGCCTGACCAATCAGGATCGTGCCGGAACAGCAATCAGCGGGTAATGACCAAATTTCATAATTATTACGGATCGTCATTGACGTCCTTAAAATTATTACTGTTGTTGCCAGTGTGCTTTAGTCGAAGTGCAATTTTCCATTTTTTGTGTGCGTGTGTAAACCCTTCGTGTTCCGTTCGCGTTCCCTTCCCCCGTTCGCTTCAAGGGCCAAGTTGATCTACATCGACTACGAAGGGCGCTCAGACGGCGAGTCGCTCAAGAAGCTCATCAGCCAGATGCGCCCGCGCCAGCTGGTGATTGTGCACGGGCCGCCTGACGCCACGCGCCACCTGGCCGACGCATGCCGTGCGTTCGGCGGCAAGGAGATGAAGGTGTACACGCCGAGGCTGCACGAGACGGTCGACGCCACGAGCGAGAACCTCATCTACCAGGTGTGGCGTGCCGGGCGTGCTTGCTGTGTGTGCGCGCGCGTCATCGGCGCATCATCGTGGGTACAATTTCAAAAGAAGTTCAACATACTAAACTATGCTATTTTTATTTTACCAGGTAAGGCCCACTGCGCAATGTAGCTCTTTTTCAGAAGTGGCCTGGCGACAAATGATAACTCAACAAAGTGGCTTATCACGTGGAAATGTTTAGCAGCCAAATACTCTAAACGCATGAAGTTCATTTTAAATGTGGAGGGGATAAACCGTAGTACCCGGAGAAAAATCCACGCGACCACGGGGAGAACATGCAAACTCCAAATATACAGGCATCAGGGTCGGGATGGAACCCACAACCTCCTGTATACCAGGCGAGGTAGTCAACATCTCGCCATCGTGGCACCCATACGTACATGCGTCAGCATCGCCAGGGCTGTGACGCGGGCCGGCGGTAGCAAGTTAGCCGCTTATTGCAGAAATTCACGGTTCGAATCTGGCGGTCGCCCCAGTTAGTACTGCGTTGCAGCGGACATTGAAGATCCCCCTGACGTAATTTGCAAGGGTAGGCCAGTCTATATCGGCATCATGGTGCAAAAGTGCATGGTTTGAGGAATTACAAATTGCTCAAATGGGATTACAAACACACACGGCATACACCGCCCTCTGCGGTGAACACTTGGCAGGACCCTCTCAAAAGAGCGTCGTGAGACTCGGTGGGGCTTTCCTGTGTGAACAAGCGTAGTACCAATAATAATGATTATAAACCATTAATATTTACACCAGTGCCTCCGATGCAGTACATTTCGAGGTGACTGGGGGCACAGGGTGAACGCAGCAACAGCCTGCAAGTGGGCATTCTTACGTCCGTTGGGTTATTTATAACATTTGAAAAAATGTCGAGGCCACAATACCGGCACACACAACCTACCCTTTTTCCAATAACGCGAAACGGCTTTTGACGTCCACTGCAAAGCACGCGGCTTGTATTTGTTACAATTAACACACCCGGTGTTAACCAAACGGCCGTTGGGGATTCGAACTTGGGAACCTTTGCAGTAAGTGGCATACACACCATCGCCGGGCCCTCTCACCGGGCCCGCAAATTAGTTTTCTTCTTTACAACGCTCCCGTCAACATTATTTCTGCGGTGATGAGCAGTGTGTATTCTTATCGTGCTGTTCACTGTGAATTCCAAGGCTCCATTTGTGGCAGGAAGACCATTTTATTCTTCTGACGATGAAATCTTTTTTTATTACTGTTTGTGCACAGCGTCTTGACATGCGATCATATTTAGATGCTATTTAAATGTAAATTGTTGTTTTTTATTGTTGAGACTGGGTGTGATTTTTGGACAGTGCGAGCAGAAAAGGCAAATTTGTTCCCGCAGAAACACGGCACGACCCGCTGTGAGGAGTTCTCGCTTTTGTTTTATCATTCTTTTATAGTCCCAAAGCGTAACATTTCGGTTGTGAACGATGATAATAGGCTAGAGCCATGATACAATTGCGCATTGTGCTTTGAACCCAGTAACCCGATTTCGATTCCCAGCTACACTAAAATTGGTGGCTTGTGCTGCCTGAACCTGTCCTGGGCACCCCCCAACCCGCACTAACCATCACTGACCATCACGCTCAAGTGTGGCCAAACAACCCCTGTGATCGAAACAGCATGGAATGAGGGATGGGCGGGGGGGGGGGAGGCCTTTATATAACAGTGGATTGACAAAGGGCTGCAAATAAATAAGTTATAAATTATAATCGTGATAGTTTAGTTGAGCTCAACAATCACTGCAAAATAGACATCCTGGTCAAAAACGATGTCAGGCTCGACGATTTTTTATAGTTTTTGTTTATGCTCGCGCCTACTTTTCCCCCCAAGGTGAGGCTCAAGGACTCGCTCGTGAGCTCCCTGCGCTTCTGCCGGGCACGGGACGCCGAGCTGGCGTGGATCGAGGGCGCGCTGGACCTGCGGGTGGCGCGCGTCGACACGGGGGTGGTGCCCGAGGACGGGACGCCGCGCGACGACGACAACGCGACGGCCGGCACCTCGGCGGGCGGCTCCGGCGAGACCATGGAGGTCGATCGCCCGCACCGAGCCGCCCACGAAACGGAGGCCGCCCCCGGCATCGCGGGCCGCTCTCAAGCGCAGCCCCTGGCCGGGCTGTTTATCGACGAAGATGCGACGACGTCGGCGCGCGTCACCGTCGGCCCCGAGGAGGGCGACATCATCCCCACTCTGGAGCCGCTGCAGCCGAACGAGGTTGGTGGCGGCCGGTTCTGAGTTAGAAGAGGGAGGAGGAGGAGGTTTGTGAAGGATGCAACAGGGCAGTTTGGTGGCAGGGGTAACTCCCCTGCAGCAATGACTGAGGGCGGAAGATCGACGCTCACGACAACGAGCAAAGCGCTGGGCGGTACATTTGCCAGTGATATCCGTGAACCTGTAACACCTGGGGCCGCCCCGTGCCCTGCCTGTGAGTCTACATTTCACGTACACCGAGCCTAGGACAAGCGCGACGGTGGCGTCTCACCGTCACGTAGTCACGAATGGTGGCTGTCGTTGTCGCCGCCGCCGCTGCTGCTGGTGGCGGTTGTGAAACGCCGTCCGTTCGGCTGCCGTCTTTTTTGTCTCCCAGGCGCAGGACCACGCGGCGGTGTTCATTAACGAGCCGCGCCTCTCCGACTTCAAGCAGGTGCTGCTGCGAGAGGGCATCCAGGCCGAGTTCATTGGCGGCGTGCTCGTGTGCAACAACGTGGTGGCCGTTCGCAGGGTGGGTTGCTCTGGTTTCTTTTCCTGCCTTACCCCAATCGTGGGATTTGGTGTTATTCATGCAATTTGAACTTGTATACGTTATCAAATTTTCACATATTTTAGTTTTTTGTGATTTTTCTCACCTCTCCTCTTCTTTACACTATTGTTTTCTTGTTTGTCGTTGTAACTTTCTGACTTGGCCCTACTTGGACTTCCGTAAAAAAAAAAGCTTCATAGCTCATCGGATTTCTCTGGGATAAAGATTCTGATATAGAGTGCTGCCTCCCCCCCCCCACCACCTGCACCCCGCTGCCTCTCGCCCTTTGCTCTCCACGGTATTGAACCCCCACCTTGCCTCTCCCCAATCAAGAACCACTTGCTCCCCCAGCCCCAGATACACACCGAAGGTTATTAAGGCCACAATAGAGAGTGATCACATGGCCACCGTTCCATTCAAGACGGTGTTAGGCACATGTTTAACCCGTATTAGGGTTTTGTTTGTGATCGTAAGAAGTGTTTCACGTGTATTAGAAACAGGTTATTCGTTATTTTAGAACTGTTTTTTGTGTTTAGTTTTTGTTTCCATTTCCCACACCTCCGATTAGCACTGTTTGCTACGTACCGTGAAAAATAGGTTTGACATACATACATAGTTCGTGTTTTCGCATTGTTAAGGCATGTGCATCACGTGTATTCGTGTTTTGTGACGGCAAGGCACGTCTTTCATGTTGTGTAATGGTGTCTTTCGTGTTAGTAAGGCATGTGGTTCACGTTGAGTATTCATGTTTTAGCATCGTTCTGTGGCGCTGACGTCACCTGTGCACATTCATCATTTCTCCTGCACAGTATCCATGCCGCAGCTTGCGCCTCTATCCCCTGAGAAAGGCTTTCGTGCCTCCTGACCCACGGGCTGAGACCCGCTGCGCGAGCCTCTCTAGTTTACGTCTGCCGGATTCAAATTCTTGCAATCCAAGAACGTTTTTCAAACGGCTGTTGTGGGCACGCCTTGTCTGCCTTTAGTGGACAGCATCCTTGCAACACTGCTGATGCCCCGTTTCTGCTTTGAAGTTCTTCCCCTCTGATTATACATTTTTATCAAAACCAGCAAGATTATTTGGGGAACTGAGAAAAAATTACATTTAATTGTGCTTTAAAATTTTGTATCATTGTTAAATATATTATGTCAATTTATTTAATCATTGTGCAATTTTTCTCATTTCTATGAATTTTATATCTTTACTTTTGAACCTTTAATCCGTTACCAAATGATTGGATTTGCTGCCAGGATTAGTTGTAATTTTATTTGATGTCACCCAGGGGATCACCTTTGCAAACAAGGCCACGTTTTCACATTTGTCTTAACTGCGTTCGTTTCATCTTCTGATGAAAAAAATAAAGATTGGATTGCATGTCTTAGAATAATGTATCACCCCCATTGCATTCATCTGCCCCCCCCCCGGCTCGGCGCATGGCAGGGTTGTTTCTATTCCCAGCACGGCAGAATATTCTCCCTTTGCAAACGGCACCAGCCATGGTAATCAAACCAGGCTCAAGTGGCTACCCTTGTCTTCGTGCGTGTGCCGTGCTGTGTGCGGATACAGCGGTATAGCAATGGGGTTAGCACTGCACCGCGCTACGAACCCGGCAACCCGAGTTCGATTCCCACCCGGATGCCCCCCCCAACACCCGTGATGAATATCTGAACCGGTGTACTGGACATCCCCGCGATGGACTCACCATCAAAAGAGTACCTGCAGCGGTGTGTAAACGTCAGCCCCTGGGGAGACAAAGGTGGCCCTGGTCATGGTGTTGGCCATCAACTCCGTCCATGTGCCACGCCGGCCTTCGGAGGTACTCCTCGCTAACAGCACTTGCCCCAACAGTTTTGTAAAGGCTACACGGGGGATCTTTGTCTTTGCAGACGGAGGCGGGCCGCATCGGCCTGGAAGGATGCATATGTGAGGACTACTACAAGATCCGTGACCTCCTGTACCAGCAGTACGCTATTGTGTGACCTCTCTGGCTCCGGGCGCTGAAGGTGGTGATGCTGAGAGGGCCTTTTTGGTGGCGCGTCCACTCCCCTTGCGTGACGATTGTCTTCGTACTTTTCTAGTCTCCCCATCCCGAATGTAAATGACCGCGACACGAAGCCGTGGATCGTAACGTCGGGTAAGCTTTCGGAGAAAATGCCAGTTTTTTTTTATAATTCAGAGCATTTTTGACAATTATGAAAGGGAGACGTAGGTCACCGTTCGTCATAATTGGCCGTTCAAGGAATGCTTCTGGTAGTGGATATAGTTTTAACCGAAGGCGATTCTTGTGTACAGTAAACGTATGTTTTCCGCTGTTCGCTGGCCAGGATGGCCCGTGGAATTGGAATACAGAATACATATTTTCACGGCTGCCAATGTTTCCTTTTCCACCTGTACAAATAAAACAAATGCATCCATGTAATGACGCTTGCAACTTGATTTTAATACCCATTTGCTGTTTGTAATCGATACATTTCCTGCTGTTGGTGATGTTAACGGCAGTGAATATACCGGTAAAAATTTAAATGTTGCATTAATTTATTACGTGCATATTTACAACAGCTCACTCGCTCCTTCACGATATGAAATGCGGAATTGCCACCGCCCGCTCGGCTATACACGGGAGATGCCTCGATGCTCACTGAAGCAAGAAGATAATTTCCAACGACAAAGATTGCATGGCCAATGGCAGATGTAGCGTGGCCCGATTTGCTCTGTCAACTTATTTTTTATTTTGGCCAGGAAAGTCTCAAAACTCTTTCAGGAGGGTCCTGCCCAGTTTTTGCAGTCGGACGGGTGACGTTGCTGTCATGGCGATTGAGTAATTTGCAGGGAATGTTTCAATATTGGGATGTTTGGCCATTTTTTTTCTTATGGGAGAAAACGGAAGAACCCGGAGGAAACCCATGCAGAACAGGAGGAGAGCGTACAAACCCCACACGCAGAAAGGTGCCCGAGTCGGGAGTCAAACCCAGGACCTTCCTGTTGTGAGGCGCCAGTGTTACCACTCGCGCACCGTAAATGTTCCAAGGACCCAGACCAGGTATTTCCCCAGTTGGTACCACCTGAGGTGGCACAATATGTCCAATAACGGTGGATCGCGAGATAAACGTTTGAAATGAGTGGCGCTATCAAGTAATTCACTCATGTATTCACCATGTAAATATATCGGTACTACGAAAGCTTTGCACCTCTGTGGTACCGATTTCTGCTCTTAACCCATGGACTAAATGGGAAGTTTGATTATATCTGAAAAGTGGCCAGAATACTAAAAAGGTAGCAATGCTGTAGAGAGACGGAGAGTAAGGTTAACTCTCCATGCCCACATTTTCACGAGACAGGACTTCGTTTTTTTCTATAGAGGGCAGCAGCACATGCAATGCATCTGTTGTCTGGGCTGCTCTCTCGCAATTAGCCAATCTGCCGCCCCTCGCCAGTATCAAACATTGCAGCGGAATTGACACACGTCGCCTTTCACAAGTATCAACTCGATCATTTTTGCAATCGGAGTAAAAAAAAAAAGGTGTGTGGGCGTTTCCAGTTCGGCGGCTGCTTCCAGCTGTGTTCTGCACGATTGGCGCACATCCAGATTATGGGGTGAACTTTTTATACGGTACACGAATCTCACCTTTGTTGGACCGCGTTGATCGCCTAAAGGTTAAATTGGATTTGCCGTTCGCACCGCCCGAGCAAGTGCTTGGCTTCTGGAGCTTCTTTGCAACTTGTTTTAGGCAGTGTTGTGACTGCAGCCCCCCTACCTGTTAAGTCTGTGACCTCAATACAAAATATACGAGCACTGATGCAGTATACTGCCCTGAGCCAGTGATGGAAACCCCACCTTCTTATGGTGGGTGCGAGTCTTGTCAAGTAGAATAACCACTGTTGACGTGCCCAAAATCTGGTACTAATTTTGTAGACCATGTACGGATGATGGGCTGAGTCAATCCCCATCAGGATTGAACTCGTGCCACGTTGCTCAGCATGTGATGTGACAAAAATGTTTTTATATTTTCACATGCAGAGCATTCGTCATTGTCTTTTGAGAGCAGTCTCCCATATCAATATGCACTGGTATGTCAAGACTTACTATCAGTCCCAGTACCCTTTGTATCTAATGATAAATGTCCGCATAAATAATGCATTGTCAAAAAAATATCAAAATTGTGTCTCTTTAAATCTCGTCAAAAGCCTTGTTGTACGGCTGCTCTCTACATGTTTTTAATTCCATCTGCGACATGCATTTTTAAATTGTGCGATCGTGAATCCTTCGCAGCCTTTGTTCTGAATGGAAACAGACTACAGCCAGTACTGTTGATGACAACGGCCAGTTCTGTGGATGCCACCCCAGCTCATCGCTTCCTTTTGCTCGACCAGCGGGGTGGCCAACTGGCGTCTCTCCGAGCGGCATGCGGCTCTCTCGAAGGGTCATAACGTAGAACGTACTATTACAGTCGTAGTAGCAAAGACAAATTAATGTCTCCCGTGCTGTGCCCAAAACTCACTATTTACACACACACAGGCTTGTGTATATATATATACATCTTCTTGGTTCTTTCGGTAAAGTCACGTAGAAGGGAAATAATAAAATAATTCTCACGACATTTCGGCCTCAACGCAAGCAGCCGTCCTCAGGTGAAGAACAGGTCTGTCGGAAAGTACAGCGTCTGACCTGTTCTTCACCTGAGGACAGCTGCTTGCGTTGTGGCCGAAACGTCGTGAGAATTGTATTTTATTATGTTTTATTTTTATTATTTATTCCCTTCTACGTGACTTTACCGAAAGAACCAAGAAGATGAATCCCTGCAGTCACGAAAGCTTTAAATCGAAATTTATATATACACACTTGGCACTTTGCAGAACTCATGGGGTACTTGTTGTCTCTTGGTCTGTTATAGGTTGGCCACCCCTGTGCTCGACCCTCCAGCGGTTGCATAATCGAAACCTGACCTGTTCCAGTGTTCTTCCATCTGGCTTTTTAGGTCTTGCCCTTGCTCGCCATCCTCTGGGTGCCACTGCAATGCCCCACCCCGTCTGGGTCAACCTGCCCCACACCCTGTATACCTGTGCCACCCATTGCAATCGCCCTCTAATTAGGTGCATGTACACTGCTTTTTTGGCACGCATTTTGAACTTGCAAGTTGTTTAGCCTATCGTGCCGTGAATTCCTAGCATCGCGTGCCTCTAATTCAAAGGCCACTCGCCTCTTTTGTAGTGCAGCCTGTGTTCAGCAAATCAATGGAATTGTCAAAGCAACCCTTGGCTCTCGGTCGCTTCGAATACAGCATGCGATGTGCAACGTCTCAATCTTGTCTCGCGTTAGCAGCCACGGAAACATTCTGAATGTGCCGAGGCGTGCCCCCCTTGCCCTCTTTCCCACATTCACACGCTGCCGTATTTGTCTCTGGCAACGGACGGGCGCATCCCCGCATCATGTCCTGACATGCAACCCTCCCCTACCCACCTCCGCACAAAACCCACTCTCACAGCCGACGGTTTAACCCATTGCAGCAGCAGCAACAACAACAACAAACACGGGGACATCTCTCGCCGCGACGTTAAATTCCCCCATTCAGGTCTCTTGTCATTTCGCGTGGCCGCGCTGGTGCGGACGCGACGCAGGAGACGTGGTGTATCGGTTCACGTCGCGCTATAGGATCGCATTACACGACAGCCGCTGTGCCCCGTGACCTTATCCATTCTGCGCCAGAAGCCGTTCAATTTCGCAGTTATTTTTGGACCACGTTTTTGTCCGTCGACCCCCCCCCCCCACTGAAACAACGCATCCCGGGCTGCGAGGCGAATCGTCGCCCTTCCCGACGCCGCGTCGCCCTTCCCGCGGTGTCTGTCCCTGGGCCCTTCGTCCTCTCCGGCGACCGTGACCTTCACGTGTCGCGTCGCGGGGAGGGCGACGAAGCCAGGCCCCTCTTCCCCTCCCCTCCTCCGTATGGCGCTCGCTCGGCTCGGAGGAGCTGGCACGGCTGCCTCCGACCAGGGCGCAATATGTCCTGGGTTTGCGAATCAGATTGTTGTTTACATATATACTGGAGGAATGCTACGAGCTGCAAAGCTCTTTTTTTCACAGATGTCCAGTAAGGGGCTAGTAAAAAGACGTTACAACAACAAACAATACGATAGGAGTGCAAAGTATAGGAACGGTAAATAAATAACCCAAAATACATAAAAAAAAATTAACCAAACCCACCCTCATCCTACCAAGCAAAGCCCACTGACGGCGCGCGACTCGCAGCCGCAGCAATCCACGAAGGGGGGGGGGGGTATCCCGATTGTGGGTGAGCCGCGTGTGAAAATGAATCTGGGTCATATCACCAGTGGTGGTTAGTGGAGGTGGCGTCGCAGTGGTGTTGGCGCATTGCGCGAATGATCTGGCCACCTGAGTTCGATTCCCGGGCCGATCCATGGCTCACGTCGTCATTGCCGAGTGATCTCAATCCCATGCGGACGATGCAGCTGCACGGCGGAGGGGGACAGGGTTCCAGGGGGGGGCAGGCACGCTAGGCGCCAGGTCACGGTGAAGGGAGGTAATTGGACAGGGGGGGGGGACCCATTTAATTCCTTGGACCAGAGCCCATGCCAACCACGCTACGCCACCGTGCAAGACCTCGTTGTGGAGACAGAGCCGTCCACGAGGGGTGCGGCGAATGGGGGCGACCGCCCCGGGCCCCGCGCTTTGAGGGGGGCGCCCCGCTTCGACGTCACGGTGTCAGATGTAATACTTTATTCTAAAGGCATTGGCTGGGGGGGGGGGGGGGGCGCACATCCCACTCCAGACGGCCCTGCACCCAGGGGCCTCTTCCGGGTAAATAATTGACACCGGCACATGGATGGCGGAGTGGTTTTACAGGAGGCAAAGCTGTCTGTGCCGAGGCATTCTCAATAATTGAGCTTCGAGCGCAAAGAGGCTCCCCCCGTACGTTTGTTTATGGAGATGTAAAATGGACTGCGCGCCATCCGCACGCGGCACGCACAAGGCGCTTTGGTTTTGTGCGATACTGCGTCGGCAGCGGTGTGCAAAGTGACACGAAAAAAAAACGACACAAAACTCCAACACATTCGTCAATAGCACCGTGGCCTTCAAGGAGGCAATATATAACGGGTGACTTTAGGGCAATGGGCCCCTTTCACATCACATACATGACGAAGGGCCGTTGCCCGAAACGTCACCTATTATATATGATTCCTTGAAAGGGCACTGTTTTATTGACGTAAGCGTTGAGTTATTTTATTCTTAATTTGAATGGGAGCTGTGTATCGTGGGATACACCAAGACACAAGAGACAAACATGCCCCGAATAGCTTGTAACAGGCTGTTGGGGCAAGTGCTGCTCGCGAGCACCGATCAAGGCGAACGTCACACGAGAAGATGGGTGGTTAGCACCACGCCCGACCGCCTTTGTCTCCCCAGTGACTGTTTACACGAGTTACGCATTTGAGGCCGAGGCCACCTAGGAGAGGCCCGGGACCGGTTTACATAATCACATGTTGGCTGTGAGCGGTCCTCAAATTGGAGTCTGCCGGGTTCGTTGAGCAGTGCGGCGCTAACCACTGCGCCACCGCTCCCCGCACGCGCGCACGTGCTGATTAGCCTAACGAAGCATCCTGCACGGGCTATGGGGGGCGGGCGGAGGGCGGGGGGGAGGCAATTTAATTAAAACAATTAGAATTGTGATCAAGCAGCCGTGACCGCATTCTATTTGACGAGAGGCAGGTGGCGGTGGTGGTGATGACCGCACCATGGGACGCTGTGTTCAGCGCGCCGCGCTACAAACACGACGACCCGAGCTCAATTTCCGCTCACGACCAATAACAGTGGCGAATATTTGAACCGGTCCTGGGTCGCCCCTAGGTCTACTCGGCCTCGAAGCAGTACCTGGTGCTGTGTAAACGTCAGCACTGGTGGAGGGCAAAGGCGGCCAAGCATGGTGCTGGCTACCCCCACCCCCTCGTGTGCTGTGACGGCCTTCTTCGGTGCTAGCGAGCTGCTAGCACTTGCCCCAACAGTCTGTTAAGGCTATAAGGGGGATCTTTGTCTTTGGGAGGTCATTTTGGGAGATTGAATAGCACGTGAGTGGGTGGGGTTGGGGTGTTGAGATTTGGTCACAATTGCGATATCATCGACTTTTGAGTTTAAAAAAAACGCAATACGCGTGCCGTTACAATGTTATAACCTGTCTGCTCTGAATCTGTGCCTGCCTGTAGGTCTGGAGGTGACCAACATTCACCTGCCCGGCCCTTCTATAACGTCTTTAGAATTTGAATTCGTCGCTAACCTACTCACGCTTGTGTGGTACGTGGATGCGAAGCCCCGTTTCGCCAGACCACCGGTGGACTGACGCGAGTGCCACCGTCACACGTCGTGTGGGCCATGGGTTAATTGACCATACTTCACCCGGCTGGTGCGATATGCCGTAGTCGACAACCTGTAGCGCCGGTTAGGCATGGTGGTCGCCCATCCAGGCGCTGTCCAGGCTCACACCCGCTGATCTTCCGAGATCTGGCATAATTTGGGTGCTTTGTTTCGTAGCATTAGTAAGTCAAGAATGAGGCGGGAACATTTTGAAACCAGGACACAATCTCGATTTTAGGATAAAGCTTCTGGTGGTCAAACCGGGGCAGCGTTTCTGAAACCACTGGGACTGCCCCGGCCAAAGCGGGCCTCTTTGTAGCTTGATCCTCTACCCCATTAAACCCCCAGCAGTAAGCCAATATTGAACCCCATCCAACCTCTCCCCGCACCCCACATCGCCTTGCCTCTCACACAAACTCTAAGCCCCGACTTCTATTGCTGCGCAGCTTAAAGGCATGTTCACAATCCCCGAATCTGCCGAGATTATTTTGGCTCACAGCAACGTGATTTTGCTTCCCACCCACGCACCCACCCACAAATCCACCCACGCACAAATCCACCCAATCGACCAATAACCCACCAATCAACCAATAGCCAACCAACCAATAACCCACCTACCAACTAATAACCCACCCATCCACCCACCAACCCATCCATCCACCGACAAACCCACCAAATCGACCAAAACCCCACCACCAATCCACCCAACGAACCAACAATCCACCCAACTAACCAATGTGTTGAGTTTGTCTTCTTGGTTCTTTCGTTAAAGTCACGTAGAAGGGAAATAATAAAATAATAAAAATAAAACATAATATTATGTTTTATTTGTATTATTTCCCTTCGACGTGACTTTACCGAAAGAACCAAGAAGATGAATCCCTGCAGTCGCGAAAGCTTTAAATCGAAATGTTGAGTTTGTGTTAATTGCGTTTGTGCACAACTGCCTCCGTAGCAGCAGTAACACCAGATGATGTGTGTGGACAAAGGTTGCCACCATGTCCTGATTTTACCAGGATAGTCATCTGGCAGCTGCTGTCTCCACGCTAAAACACTCCGGGACGTTGTGTAAGTTGCGTAATAAATACAAATAAATAAATAGAACGCCACTCAACGCAGTTACAATTCTGGCAGCTGCGTGATGATGCCGGTTGTTTAACTCGCATTGCTCTCCACCGTCACACCGGTGGTGCAACGCTAACACATTGAGCACGTTTGTTCATCACGTGGCAACTCTTATTAATTGGCCGTGTCGGGTGGAGGAGGGTTTTACGACGCAGCGTTTTACTGACGCAGCGATCTGAGCCAAAAAGAAAAGAAAAAACAACATGCCATAATTCATCACAACGCAATACACAGCGAGTGGGTCAAGGTCCGATTTTGGTTTGGTCGCAACTCCAGAGTGACGATAGCCAGGCTCGAATATCCGATTCGCTTTCCGAGACCACGGCGTTATCGGGCAAGCTCCAGGGGTTGATCTTGGCCGCGTGAAGGCAACGTCGGTCTGGCGCTACCGTGCCTCGTCTCAGCGAATTTCACTCCTTTTTCATTAAAAGCCGCAGCGAGGAAGCGACGCTGAGGCACCACGCGAGTTTCGCCCCCCCCCCCCCTCCTTCGTCGGCTGCGTTAATTTAATCAAGCGCAATTAATGCTTAAATGAGAGAGAGATGAGATGAGATTCTGGCGTCGCGCAAAAAAAAAGAAACGCCGAGATTGGCTTTTAATGTAATCAGTAAAAAAAACAAATCTTGTCCTTGGGTTCGTTGAAAAGTTCATCCGTGTTGGAGCGGAAAGAGAGAAAACAACGATGAACAACAAACCCGGCCACGTGGCTCAGCGGCAAAGCGAGCGGCTCGGAATCGGAAAGTTGCGAGTTTCAAACCCTGGTTGGGTGGCCGACTCAGCCCATCATCTCTTCGGGGGTCGATAAAATATATACTATTTTGTAGATTTGGCGGGGTATACTCGCCCCCGTCATGGGAATGACGACTTTACCACAACCGGCTCAGGGCTGTACACAGGAGGTGAGTACCGCCCCAGTGCTCAATTCGAGGAGATCACTCGAATATGCAAGTGCATATGTCACGCAGCGCTCCACTTCAGTGATTGCATTCACCTGTGCTGAGACCAGTGCTGAATTGCAGCCGTAATTAAGTTGTCAAGCCACATCAAATCTTCTCGCCTCATTTTTTTTCTCTCTCTCTCTCTAGCCTCTACGTACGAGTATAAGAACGTTGGGTGCACCAGTAGACGATTCATGTGGGAAGGCGCGCCTTGCACTCTGAGTGTGTAGTATCTTCATACGCCGGGAGTCCCCACTCGAAGCTTGGCGAGCAGCCCTCCGCGTTTTACGCGGCTGTTTCGGTTTCTTAGTTGGTCGAAGGCACCTTCATAGGGGCCGTCCATAAATGACGTCACGCACCTGGGGGGGGGGGGTCAGACATTTGTGACGATGTGTGACGAGGTGGGGGGGGGGGGTTGAGAAATGTGACTTCACATCAAAATGCGCAACTTTAAATAAATTTAGGCAACACGTTCTATTTAATTAAATAGACTTTTTAATAAATGTTTTCTTCTACAACATCAGAGTGCAGTGCCACATTAAATACGCACTACAATGACAATAGTTTAAAGCGATTTAAAGCATGTTTATTTTTTTTGGGGGGGCAGAGTTTTGTGACGTCATATTTGAGGGGGGGGGTCTGACTTTTTGTAACGCCGTGTGACGATGGGAGGGGGGGTCAAAAATCGTACAAAATCGCGTGACGTCATTTATGGACGGCCCCATATATAGAGGACCGCGGAGCTTGTGGGGGTGGGATTGGTGCCGGCTCACCACCAGGCTCCTGCTGCTGCTCCTGCTGCTGCTGCTGTTCCTGCTGCTGTTGCTCCTGCTGCTGCTCCTGCTGCTGCTGCTCCTGCTGCTGCTGCTCCTGCTCATGGCGCCTCTGAGCCGTCCTCTCTCTCTTCGCGAGCGAGCGAACGAGCGGTGGGGACGCGTTAAGGGGCTGTCCATAAATGACGTCACGCGATTTTGGACGATTTTTGACCCCCCCACCCCCTTCGTCACACGACGTCACAAAAAGTCAGACCCCCTCCCTCAAATATGACGTCACAAAGCTCTGCCCCTCCCCAAAATTTTTATAACATGCTTCAAATCGCTTTAAACTATTGTCATTGTAGTGCGTATTTAATGTGGCGCTGCACTCTGATGTTGTAGGAGAAAACATTTATTTAAAAAAGTCTATTTAATTAAGTAGAACGTGTTGTCTATATTTTCTCAACACCCCCCCCCCTCGTCACACATCGTCACAAATGTTTGACCCCCCCCCCCCAGGTGCGTGACGTCATTTATGGACGGCCCCTAAGAGCTCTTACGGCCAGTTCCCAGATTGACTCCGATAGGAGCAGGTGTAGTGTGAGCGGGTGGTCGGGAGGCAGTGAGTGATGGAGGCAGCGAGTGGAGAGACGGAGCGAGACAGGGAGGCAGGGGAGCAGGGAGAGAGATCGGGATGGAGGGGGTGAGGGGGAGTGCGATGGAGGGGAGGAGTGACAGATAGAGAGAGAGAGGGTGTTAGGGGGAGGGAGAGGAGGGGGAGGAGCAGGCCATTATGATCCGCAACCCTCCCCTCCATTACCCCGAGCGTTCGTGAGACAAAGCGTGCCCCCCCCCCCCCCCCCCGAATATCCTTCACCCCCCCATCACGTGGCTCGCACTCCGCGCAGGGGAGCGCCTTCCACTCTGTCGCCTGCTGCGTTCGAAAGCTGCGCGCGCGAGAGAGCGAGCGAGCGACACGAGGATTCCGGCACAGAGGGCGAGAGATTGCAGCCACCCCGTGTCTCGTGCTGCCAGCCACCGAGCTGGCCAGTCGCATAGTCAGGCAGCCAGCCGGCCGGCCAGTTACCGAGTCGGAGAGCCAGTGAGCTAACCAATTAGGTACCTCTCAGTCAGACGGCGAAGTCGCTCGGCTGGCCAGATAGCGAGGCATCCAGATAAGCAGGCAATCAGGTGGGCAAGCGGTCAGGCGGTCAGGTGGTCAGGCAAGCACGAAGACTGACAGCCAGTTAACCAGTTAGGCATTGCGAGCCGGTCATACAGCAGCCAGTCAGCCAGCACGCTCCTTACAAGGCTCCCAGCCCAGCCGAAAATCCGCTCGGCGGTTCATCCACGCGGTTTCCCAGCTCCACAGCTGTTCAGCCGCTCCGCCGTTCGTTCACGCATCCATACATCCATCCACCCACAGACCCACTCGCCTCGCTCAGCTGTAGCAGCAGCAGCGGCGCCAGCATTATCATCAACAGCAGCTGCTGCAGTAGCATCAAGTACCAGTAGCAACAGCTGCAGCAGCATCATCATCATCAGTAGTAGCAGCAGCAGCATCATCAGTAGTAACAGCAGCATCATCAGTAGTAGCAGCAGCATCATCAACAGCAGCTCCTGCAGTAGCATCAAGTAGCAGTAGCAACAGCTGCAGCAGCATCATCATCATCAACAGCAGCTGCTGCAGTAGCATCAAGTAGCAGTAGCAACAGCTGCAGCATCATCATCATCAGTAGCAGGATCACCACCAGTGGCATCATCTCTGCGCCGAAGCTACCGAGTTGGCAGCGAGGATGGAACGCGGCGCGCACGTGGAGTTACCCGAGGCCAGATGATCACAGCAGCAATCCGACCCTCCATGTATGACTCCGCACGCGAAAAGAAAACAACAACACAACAACAAAAACAACAACGAGAAGATCCCGACACTGTGAAAGTTTAATCGCCAAGCAACAGCTCCAAAAACGACGACAGCGAAAACAGCATCGCCGCCGACACCCCTGCCTCTCTCTCGCTATCTCGTAGCCGCGAACAGCAGCGTGCAGCAGCGTGCAGCAGTGGATAGAGAATGCGAAGTGCCCTGGCGCGCCGTGGACGGCGCGAGAAGCTGGCCGCGCAGATTTGTTTCGTGGGAGCCGCTCTGCTGGGGACCGCGGTGTTCAGCAACTTGGCCTCTCTCGCAGGTAGCACGACGCACTCACGTTCTCTCGCTCACCTCTCATCTCTCCTCTCTCTCTTATTTTTATTTTTTTATTTTTATTTATTGTTATTTTTTTACGATCAGTGGAAACAAGAAGATGCTCGGTGTATTCGTCACTTTGCTTCGTTCATCATTTCGTAAAAAAATTTTTTAACTTAGCTTTATGTAAAACTCCCACCTCTCGCTCACTCTCGCTCGCTCTCTCTCGCTCTCTCTCGTTCTGCACGCAGCCCTTCTTGCAGTCCGACGGCCTCTGCTCCCTTCTCCTCTCTCTCCGCTCCCCTCTCCTCTCTCTCCGCACGCACGCACGTGGTGCCCCTGACGGAGCGCTCGGGCACGCGCTGGCAATGCGGCTGCCCCCCCCTCCAACCAAACGCCCCCCCACCCTCTCCCGAAGCGGCAGACGTCAGCCCGAATGTGTGGCCGAATTGTTGGCGACGCGAGCAAGCGGGTGGGGGGTTGCGGCGAGGTGGGGGCTCGCAATTTTTGGCAAGGGGAGGACGGGCGGGGGGGGGTGATGCCCGCGCAGCCGCTGTTGTGGGTGCTGGCAGCGGAACGTCTCTCGCGCGTAGGTTGCACTGAGACACAAACGCTGCAAGCTGCACACAGATCCTCCCCCCCTACCCCCCTCGTATAGCCTGCAACAGACTGTTGGGTGCAAGTGCTGTTAGCGAGTAGCGCCTATGAAAGCAGGGCACGGTACACGTAGGGGTTGGGTGGCCAGCACCACGCCCGGCCGCCTTTGTCTTCCCAGTGGCGGCGATGTTTACACACCGCACCAAGCACTCGCTGTAGGCTGAGTCGACCTAGGGGAGGCCCAGGACCGATTCGGATAATCGTCACTGGTATTGGCCGTGAGCGCGAATCGAACTCGGGTCGCCGGGTTCGTAGTGCAGCTCGCTAACCACTCGCTCCTCACTTTCCATACACACCCACACAGTGACCCGTATGCTACTCGCACAGAGACCCACGTAGCCACGTGGGGACCCATAGACTCGCCACATACTCATAATAATAGTGCTGGCTGCCGCTGGCCGCCTGTCGTTTTATATGGGCCCTGTGAACCTGTGCCCACACACACAACAGTGCACACATTTTGCTTCACGCATGCTTTGTGTGCATCTCTGTGTCGTAGCAGCGTGACCTTGTTTAAATGGACAAGCTGGGCCATACACGAGCTCACCAGGGGGGTTGGGTTGGGGGGGGCGTTCCCAGTCAATGTTAAAACAAACTTTAAACAAATGTCAAACTCTGAGCAGACTGAGTAACGGTGTAATTTTGCCCCCGTTCGTCGCGCGCACTCTGCCCTGCAGCCCCCCTCGCTACTGCTGTTTAAGCTACGCATATCGTGCCACTGGACTATCACGAATGATAGCTCAACAGAAGTGGCTAATCAGGTGGAAATGCGTTGCAACCAAATGCTCTGAACGCGTGACGTTGATTGTAAGTGTGAATGGGGAGAAAACACTGCAGGACCCGGAGAAAGAAAAATAAATCCACGCGACCACGGGGAGCTAGAGACACGCAAACTCCAAATATACAGCAGGCGTTAGGGGTCGGGATCGAACCCACGACCTCCTGTATACAAGACGAGGTATTTAAGCCACTGTGGCACTGTTAGATATCGTCCCGGCATTCATATCACATTGACTATACCAGCGTGGTGAAGTACGGACAGTAGGAATTTAGAATGTCGGGGGGTGTGGGGTTGGGGAGGGGTGACGCTTCAGCTGTTGAGATGTCGAAGTCGTTTCTTTTACATCGGTCATTTGCGTAGCGGTGGAGGAGCGGTGGCGCAGTGGTTAGCACGCCCGTGGCGCGATGAACCAGAATAGGAATCATCATTATTTTGACTGGAGGAAGCCAACCGCGAGAATCCTAAGTTCTATTCCTGTCCACGCCCATCAGCAGTGCCAACTGAAATCAGAAACCGGTCCTTCCCTTTCTCCCCTTCACCAACTGGCACTGACCAGCGCGGTGAAGTATAGTCTATAAAAATAAACCCACGTGACAATGTCGGTGAATAATTTAATGCACTCAATTTTGAAGAGTGCTTGTAAAGCAGCGTGTAACGTCTCTTCGTGTTGGTTGCGTGACTAAATCACCGGGAATGTGCCCGACACCGTCAGACATCCTAAACTAAGCAGGTTTTTTTTTTGAAACCTGATTAATACTTTGACAGCGTGATGGGCAAAAGAAGGCATTGCAGGAACACATTGTACTGTGGTCCTTTATAATCTGCTGCCCGCCTTCGCCCAACAGCCCGCACTGACTCGCGTGGCGAGCTATGGTCATGAATAACCCCCACGAGCCTTGCAGCGTGGCGAGAGCCTCATCCAGCAGTGGAGAGAGACACACACCAGTGGTGTATGTGTACGCGTGGCGTTCACTTTGCACACGTGATGAGCGTCCCTGTGCGTGCTGCTGTCCGCCACCAGCGTCAGCCTCCTTCCCAGTTCAGCGCAAGCAGCCTCCTTCGATGGCACCTGTTCTACCTGGTGCTCGCTCCTTCTCTTCTGCTGACCCCAAAGGTCTAAAACGGGGCTCTCTCTTCGTCGTTGCCGGCTCAATCTCTCCTGTAACCGGTCCCTTGGTCGGGACATTGCTTCTCTCTCCTCCGGCCCCCATGACCGAGCGTTTCAATGCCTTCCCAAGTTCTTGTCTGCGTGTCGTTCCTGTCGACCTGTTCTCTCAACGCCACATCCCACTCCCGTCCCCCGCTGCCTTCTTGCTCCACGCTCCGGGAACGTCGTTGCCTCTAGACGCTGGTGTGCGGAGGTGAAGACCTCGTCGCGTTTTCTGCTTGTCCAACATCACTCCGTCCTAGCTTGGCTGCAGCCTCGTAACTGGGGTGTTGATTTGCATGACCGATGCTTTCCATCATTTGCCATCAGCGTGCTGTCAATGGAAGTACCGTCCAATTGCTCGCAATAATAATGTATGTATGTTGAACTTCTTTCGCACCGTACGTAGCCAACCTTGCTAATCAGAGGTGCGGGGGTAGAACAACAAACTGAATAATACAGTACAATAATGAGAATAGGTTTTTCTGCCAACAAAACAGGTGTTAAGATGTTAAAACACCAAACTGAAACCTTTTACAAGGAATCACGTCTGCATTAACCACAATGCTTGTGGTCAGAATGCAAACAAAAAAACGTACTCTGATAACACTGGTCAACACACTTTTTCTGGCATAAGGTATTCCAACGGTGTTACGGTGATTTTGGGGTGCTGATTCCAAATCTGGCATCAGTTTTTATCAATCACATGAAGTTTTTGAGATATCAAATATTGCATTTTCAATAAAAACTGCAGAAGAAAAATATTAAATAAATGGATATCTACATAAAATAATATTATAAACACACTATCCTACAAATACAGCACCATATTTTAACACTAATGCAGTCACTGACTCGCAACAATTTGCAATCATAAGTGACGGAGTTAATTTCGGGTAAAATCAATGAAAATGGCATAAAAATGAGATGTGATAGAGCAAATCTGAGATCCGATTTGAAATCAGCACCCTGAAATTAGTCTAAAACAGCTGCAAAAGTCCAGGCGAGAATTTTTTTTTGACCAGTGTAATATATGCATTGTCTTTGAAACTGATTGGTCCACACCAGAGACAGCTTTCTTTTGAGCCGAGTCTCAAAACGGTGTTAGACTAGAGGACGCCAAACGGCGTACAATAATAATGACTTGTGTTCGATAGAGGCAGCCCGGCTTCACGCTGGTGGCCTCTCAAGAGAGGTTTACACGTGGTCAAGCGACATGCACCGCATCTCGCCACAACACACGTGACAGGGCACCCCCAGTGGCAGCTGTCTCTGAGCAGCAGGAACAAGGTGGCACGCAGAACCTGGCCTACCGGCGGACATCTGTCTGCCGGCCGGGGGCGATGATGATAATAATAGTGTAGTAATTATCATTAATGTTGAACACACAGGCTTTCGCGACCAATATTATCGATAATAAAGATTTTTTTTATTAGATTGCGTAAAAATATTCAGAGTAAATCTTGTGGTTTTAGTCTCCAACACACCGGTACACTGAAATAGTGACTAATTGTCACGTTTTGTTTACGTGACAAACCTCACTAATTGGCTGTGTCGGGTGGTGGCGGGTTTAACGACACATTTATATTTACGCGATCTAACCCAAAAACCTCTCGTGTATCTACGCGATCTAAACCAAAAACCTCTCGTGTATCTAAATATAATTATGTAGACACAAATCCCCTCCTTTGGCTTTGCTTCGTTGTTAGTCTCGACCACTGGCTGCTCCACGCCTAGGCAAAACGACAAGTCTCACCCCCAAGCCCACTGACTTTTTCCAAACATTCGATGGCAGCCAAAGGAGAGAGAGGAGACAGAGCGCACGTCCACCACGGAGACAGAGCAACGAAGCCAGCTCCTGCGCAGGTGCTGGATGGATCGTGTCGTCCCGAGGCTGCCCCCGAGCTCCTTCAATTACGCTGAGAAATGTTAAATTGTATTAGAAACGGGGCCCATCGGCTTCCCAGCTTCCAGTCGCATTACTTAATCTCCTTCAGAACGACCGTGCCACATGCGCCGCACACATTAACCGGATTACGGGAGGCTGTGCTTGCGAGAGTGATGATGATGATGACGACTTGGGGTGGGTGGTGGTGCGGATGTGCGTCGAAATTCGCGGGGAGTGACGAGAGTGTTTCTGCCCCCCCCCCCCTCCCCAGCAGAGGACCTGTCACACCGTCGTGACGGGGCACCCTCGGGACCCCCCCGTGGAGGCGCGGGGGGCGGGACGCACGCCGCCTCGTCTAGGGGGGCCCATGGTGGCAGGAGGTTGCTGTCCTTGCCCGAATGGAACGCCACGTCGGAGGAGGAGGAAGAGAAGAACTGCACAGAACCCGGTGAGGCGGCGGCGGCAGTGGTGGCACGTCACTGCAGAGGTCGCAAACGGGTTTTGATTCCTTACCCGTACCGGTACCCGGCCGCACCAGGGTCGCAAACGGGTACCCGTACCCGGCCAGGTATCGGGTAGGGTACGGGTACCCGATTGCGACCTCTGGGATGAAGCCATGTTGCAGGCGCGGGTGTGTTGATTCTAGGATCTTGAATTGTGAGAAGAGACAAGACGTTGGGAAATGAGTGACAAACGGTTACTCACCAGTGACTCACGGCTTACCCTTACCCGTACCCGGCCGCACCAGGGTCGCAAACGGGTACGGGTAGCCGGGTATCGGGTAGGGTACGGGTATCGGGTACCCGATTGCGACCTCTGCGTCACTGTCAGCCACAGCCCATAGCGAGAGGTGTTGCTGGAGTGGTGTGCTGGGTGCCAAAGAATTTCCCGGGTCGCCGACCTGCGCAGATCGCGGCTGAAATCAAGCGCCGGCCTCAGGTGGCGAGGGAAGTGTGAACCGGCATTGCCCCAACCATGTCCTCCATCAAACCCACACTGATCAGCTCGGTGGGAGAAGTATGGCCACATAGCCCTTGTGACTGACACGACACGAGGTGGGGAAAGTCGTCACCCAAAGTGGACCAAGAATGGTCGTCATGGATGCGGTGTCGGTTTTTGTTCAGCTCGCACGGGGTGGAAATCCTCCGTTCTCGTGGCAGGAGCCAGGCCGCCGTTTGTGGCGCAACTTGTGTGGGGTGGTTTGGTTGCCCGTGTGGGCGGTGGGGGAGGAGGTGGGGGGAGGGGTTAGCCGAGCGATTTCTTTTCTTCCTTCCCAGGGCTAATGCAACTTGAGCCTTGCAGGCACACACGGGGCCGCTCCCGTCATCACGAGTTTCAATAAATGTTTCTCAGACTCCCGTCAGATTTGAAAGCTGACATCGGACAACAACAAAAAATGCGAATCGCCCAGAGGAGACGTCCACATGACGTTGGGCCCAACCGTTGTTCGATTTCATTCCAATTACTCTTACGGTTATTTACATCATCATTATCATTCTTTATTGTTTGAACACTCATCCATTGCGCTCGCCCCCGTCACTGCCGTGGGGGACACTGGACCATCCGTCCGTGTTGACTTGCCGTGCTGTCCACATCGTTGGGATGGAAATGTCGAATCCGGCACGGAATGCGTAATGCGGAGGGGGGGGGGGTGGGGGGGGACGATTTGAATAATAATGACGCACCGCATCGCAGTACATGGGTGGATCTACAATTTGCGGGAGATGGGGGGAACCCCCACCCCAGGAACCCCCCCGATTCCCGCCCCCAACCCCCGCTCTCCGGCCACCCCTATCGCCCGGTGGGAGAAGCGGAGGCTTTGAGAGCTCAGAGCGCACGTGTGTTTAACAGATGAAATTGATGATTCGCACGGCCCGCCTGTCAATCCGCTGCTGGCCGATGGCGCCTTTCTTCTCCATGTCAGTCGCGGAGGGGGGGACTGTTTGAACCATACTTCGCTGTGCTGGTCAGCCTGCGATCGGCGGCGTTGGATGGAGGCGTTTGTCGGTCAGGTGGAGGAAGGCCTCTCATTGGCGCGGCCTCACAACGGCGATGAGCGTCGTGCTGTACCATCACGGTGGCGAGATGTTAACTACCTCGCCTGACATACAGGAGGTCGTGGGTTCAATCTCGACACTGACAGTACCTGCAGTTTATTTGGTCGTGTGGATTTTTCTCCGGGTCCTCCGGTTTGTCTCTCCACGTTTAGAATCAACGTGTGTTTGGAGTATTTGGCCGATGTAAATCTGCCTATGTGGATGAGATACTTCGTTGAGCTATTGTTTGTGGCCAGGTCCGATTCTGAAAAGAGCTATGGAGCTCGGTGTGCCTTACCTGGTGAAAAATACAACGTAAAAATGGATTGGGTTTACACACGAGTGATCGTTGCCCACTCCTGGGAAAACCTGGCAGGACCCTCCTGGAAGCGAGACTTGAGACTCTCCTGGGTAAACAAGCGGCGTCGTAGCAATGATGATAAAAAAATACATGAGAGAAAAACGGCGGGGGGGGGGGGGGGGCTGGAGAACACGGGGAAAACCGGGTGAGGACAAAGAGCGAACTTCATCACTTAATGACCTCCACCAAAGTGAACATCGTCCATTAATGACCTCCACCAAAGCGAACATTGTCCATTAATGACCTTCCACCAAAGCGAACATCGTCAATTAATGACCTCCACCAAAGCGAACATCGTCCATTAATGACATCCACCAAAGCGAACATCGTCAATTAATGACCTCCACCAAAGTGAACATCGTCCATTAATGACCTTCCACCAAAGCGAACATCGTCCATTAATGACCTCCACCAAAGTGAACATCGTCCATTAATGACCTTCCACCAAAGCGAACATCGTCAATTAATGACCTCCACCAAAGCGAACATCGTCCATTAATGACCTTCCACCAAAGCGAACATCGTCCATTAATGACCTTCCACCAAAGCGAACATCGTCCATTAATGACCTTCCACCAAAGCGAACATCGTCCATTAATGACCTTCCACCAAAGCGAACATCGTCCATTAATGACCTCCACCAAAGCGAACATCGTCCATTAATGACCTTCCACCAAAGTGAACATCGTCCATTAATGACCTTCCACCAAAGCGAAAATCGTCCATTAATGACCTTCCATCAAAGCGAACATCGTCCATTAATGACCTTCCACCAAAGCGAACATCGTCAATTAATGACCTTCCACCAAAGCGAACATCGTCAATTAATGACCTTCCACCAAAGTGAACATCGTCCATTAATGACCTTCCACCAAAGCGAACATCGTCCATTAATGACCTTCCACCAAAGCGAACATCGTCAATTAATGACCTTCCACCAAAATGAACATCGTCCATTAATGACCTTCCACCAAAGTGAACATCGTCCATTAATGACCTTCCACCAAAGTGAACATCGTCCATTAATGACCTTCCACCAAAGTGAACATCGTCCATTAATGACTTTCCACCAAAGTGAACATCGTCCATTAATGACCTTCCACCAAAGCGAACATCGTCAATTAATGACTTTTCACCAGAGCGAACATCGTCAATTAATGACTTTCCACCAAAGCGAACATAGTCAATTAATGACCTTTCACCAAAGCGAACATCGTCAATTAATGACCTTCCACCAAAGTGAACATCGTCCATTAATGACCTTCCACCAAAGCGAACATCGTCAATTAATGACCTTCCACCAAAGTGAACATCGTCCATTAATGACCTTCCACCAAAGTGAACATCGTCCATTAATGACCTTCCACCAAAGTGAACATCGTCCATGAATGACTTTCCACCAAAGCGAACATCGTCCATTAATGACCTTCCACCAAAGCAAACATCGTCCATTAATGACCTCCACCAAAGCGAACATCGTCCATTAATGACCTTCCACCAAAGTGAACATCGTCCATTAATGACCTTCCACCAAAGCGAAAATCGTCCATTAATGACCTTCCATCAAAGCGAACATCGTCCATTAATGACCTTCCACCAAAGCGAACATCGTCAATTAATGACCTTCCACCAAAGCGAACATCGTCAATTAATGACCTTCCACCAAAGTGAACATCGTCCATTAATGACCTTCCACGAAAGCGAACATCGTCCATTAATGACCTTCCACCAAAGCGAACATCGTCAATTAATGATCTTCCACCAAAATGAACATCGTCCATTAATGACCTTCCACCAAAGTGAACATCGTCCATTAATGACCTTCCACCAAAGCGAACATCGTCCATTAATGACCTTCCATCAAAGCGAACATCGTCCATTAATGACCTTCCACCAAAGCGAACATCGTCAATTAATGACCTTCCACCAAAGCGAACATCGTCAATTAATGACCTTCCACCAAAGTGAACATCGTCCATTAATGACCTTCCACCAAAGCGAACATCGTCCATTAATGACCTTCCACCAAAGCGAACATCGTCAATTAATGACCTTCCACCAAATGAACATCGTCCATTAATGACCTTCCACCAAAGTGAACATCGTCCATTAATGACCTTCCACCAAAGTGAACATCGTCCATTAATGACCTTCCACCAAAGTGAACATCGTCCATTAATGACCTTCCACCAAAGTGAACATCGTCCATTAATAACCTTCCACCAAAGCGAACATCGTCAATTAATGACCTTCCACCAAAATGAACATCGTCCATTAATGACCTTCCACCAAAGTGAACATCGTCCATTAATGACCTTCCACCAAAGTGAACATCGTCCATTAATGACCTTCCACCAAAGTGAACATCGTCCATTAATGACCTTCCACCAAAGTGAACATCGTCCATTAATGACCTTCCACCAAAGCGAACATCGTCAATTAATGACCTTCCACCAGAGCGAACATCGTCAATTAATGACTTTCCACCAAAGCGAACATCGTCAATTAATGACCTTCCACCAGAGCGAACATCGTCAATTAATGACTTTCCACCAAAGCGAACATCGTCAATTTATGACCTTCCACGAAAGTGAACATCGTCCATTAATGACCTTCCACCAAAGTGAACATCGTCCATTAATGACCTTCCACCAAAGTGAACATCGTCCATTAATGACCTTCCACCAAAGTGAACATCGTCCATTAATGACTTTCCACCAAAGCGAACATCGTCAATTAATGACCTTCCACCAAAGCGAACATCGTCCATTAATGACTTTCCACCAAAGTGAACATCGTCCATTAATGACCTTCCACCAAAGTGAACATCGTCCATTAATGACCTTCCACCAAAGTGAACATCGTCCATTAATGACTTTCCACCAAAGTGAACATCGTCCATTAATGACCTTCCACCAAAGCGAACATCGTCCATTAATGACTTTCCACCAAAGCGAACATCGTCAATTAATGACCTTCCACCAAAGCGAACATCGTCCATTAATGACCTTCCACCAAAGCGAACATCGTCCATTAATGACCTTCCACCAA